TTAAACAGGTGTAAGTTCTACTGTCATGAAGGTTTTAACCTGTTTCTGATCATTTTAGAGACGGCAGTTTGGTGCCATCGAAATGGTTTTTAAATTCACCCCATTCATGTTATTGAGTGCAGATAATAGTAAAACTGGCCTGACTAACCTTAATGGATATGTTCAAATATGTGCTGTTCTTCTCTTAGGACAACATTAGTTTTATCTCAATGAGCCTAATTATGTAACAGTGAACTGTTGTCACTGTCACTACCTGACTATTTTCTTATATTGGGGAACCCTACCAACATCATTCCATCTTTTCCAGGGTTACCTCCCAGAGAGCATGTTTGACAGGATCCTGACTGGACCCATTGTTCCCGAGGAGGTAAGTCGGCGTGGACGGCGACCTAAGAATCCTTTGGCCAAGGCAGCGGCAGCTGCAGCTGCAGCAGCAGGAGCACCACCTAACCCGGCAGCCTCGGCACTAGGTTTGAACCCACTGCTGGCAAACGGCCTCCTCTCTGGAATGGACCTCACGAGTCTGCAGGCCTTCCAGCAAAACCTCCAGAATTTACAGTCCCTGCAGCTCACTGCAGGCCTGATGGGGCTGCCGTCTGATGCTAGTAACCTGGCTGCAAGTAACTTGGCTGCCATGTTTCCCATGATGCTGTCTGGTATGGCTGGACTGCCAAACCTCCTTAGTATGGGCAGCTTGCTTGGGAAGCCTCCTCAGGAAGCTGCAGGAGGCTCTGAAGAGAAAACAAAGGGAATAACCAGCGGTGGAACAGGAGAGCCAACTGCCTCTAAAGCCCCCTCTCACACCTCAGACACCAAAGGAGAAAGGACAGAGGGCTCAAACACGACTCCTTCCTCCACTTCCAGCTCTGCTTCCTCTTCCTCCGCCACACAAAGTGCTTCAGCTGCCTCTGCAGCCTCCAGTCAGCCACTGTCTCTTAACCCCTTGTTACTCTCCAGTATGCTTTACCCAGGGATGCTTCTCACTCCAGGCCTTAACCTTCCTGTGTCCACCACACAGCCACAGAGCTCAAACAGTGACCCCACCCTTCCAACTGCTCCTCCTCTACCTTCAGTTTCCCAGTCATCACATCAGGAGACAGAGCAGCCAGAGGGAGACAAGGATGGAGAGGAGGAAGATGAGCTTTTGGAAGACGCTTTGGATGAGGGGGAGGAGGAAGAGGATGAATCCATAGAACAAAAGGATAACAGTGGTCCTGAAGGTTCAGGGAAAGCAGAGTCTTCTTCATCAGAGTCTGGGAGCTCTTCCTCATCCTCAGACGATTCAGACTCCAGTGATGAGGACTGATCCTACAAATATATAAATATAAATTTATTTATGTATTGCCTAGAAATGTATACATATATTCACATATATATATGGATTTTCCAGCACTTCTGTTGTGATTTCTTTACATGTAAATACAAGAACTAACTACAATGTTCTGTAATAAAGACTACAAAAACCTTTAAAAAATAAATAAAAAAAATAGGAAAAACTGACCTAAAGAAACTGAAATAAAATGTCAATGTTTGTTCACAAGGTACAGTCTTGTTTTGAGACATTTTGCATGTCAGACTTTAGTAGATTTCTGAACTCTGAACTTGTACCATGCAATTATTGCAACAAAAAAGGCATTATTGTAATTATGTCAGGATTAATTTTATTAAAAGAAGTAAAACTACATCAACACGCTCTTTGAGCTGTACTATTAATATATTTTGATTGTCAGGGGTGTGGGGAATGACACTTGACAAACACTTTGGGTTCTCTTGTAAATAGTACTTTTACAGGTTCGTTGACACTTATGCTTTGCAGATCATACGTTGGATATGTCAGCAATAACTTGGGCAGCTAATGAATGTCACTGAAGCTGTAGATTCTCTGTCTGCCATGTTCCACCCGAGTGCACAACTCTCACAGCCTCACAAACCTGTCAAATACCTTCATATCATCTTGAAGAGGTTATTTATCACTTCTCCTTGTCCAGTTAGGAAATGATTCCTTCCTTAGTAAGGACTTGGAAAAATGGTAAAATGATTATTTTTCCAGACGTACACAATCTTAAATCTGTCTTTCAAAAAAAAAAAGAAGAAGAAGAAGTTAAACATAATTCATTTCTCTACTGTCTGACTTTACATTTTAATATTCACCATCACCTTACAAACATGCCACAGCATGTTCAAGGCGCACTTTAGCCACCAACAGTAGGCATTCACATTCACCTGCACATCTCTTAATTATAACTAAAAGCTCCTTGAGCTGCGGTAACAGAGAAAAACCTTCTACTGTGTGCCAAAAAACTGCCCTTTGACCCTTGGCGGTCTTGACGGAGTTGTTTGGTCTTTGTAGTGTTGATGGATATTATTTCTACAACCCCGATGTATTTGACTGAATCTTACCTCAACTTTGCTAAATGGATTGGCTTCACTGTGCAAATGTACATGTGCATGGGTGTGTGTGTGTGATCTGTCAATGTACACAATGTTCTCATCTCTGCTGGAATGTGTGTCAGAGGCCTTTTTTGATTTTATTTTAAATGAAACCTTCCTCTGTGTTTTGCTTCCTGAGCTGCTCCTCTCGCCGCATCCATAACTCACCAGGCTGTATGTTAGGTGGTGGTGTGGGGGCTGGCAGGCTATGAGACGTAAACACCACATTGCTGTTGTTGTTTTTTTGTTGTTTTGTTTTTTTTATACCGTCAGAAATTTCTCTTTGGAAATTTGGAGGATTCAAGTCCTTGATGATACGCATTGCATGGCAACCTGTGTTCCTACAAAGCCCATGGAGCACAAGCACAAGATAGTTCAGTTCCTGGCTAAGATTGTAGTATCACTGTCATTGTCTAAGTATTAAATTTTACGCAGTGCCACACGGGTTAGCTTCAGGAAGGGCTCAATAATAGCTTTTGTTGCTGGGAGTTTTCAGCGCTGTCTTGATTTATTTCACTTCACCCTCAACTCTGTTTTCTGACAAACAGAGCTTCAGATAGATGTAGAAGTGCCCTTATCCTGTACCTCACTCTCTTTCATTCACCGCTCACATCTGCGCTCACTGTCCATGCTTGTGTGTTTTGCTCAGCATCCGTGCACATGTCCATTTTAAACCTGTAACCAGGATATACACACAAACACTGGAGTTCACTCGAACCGAAGTACCTTTTTGTAAGTCTCTCTCAGCACAACAGTGCTTGCTCTAGGACTGCTGTTACACAGTGGACTGTTAGATACACAAATTATTTCCGAGGTGAGGTTTCTGTTTGGGCTGAGGGTGACAGCCCGCTGAAAAACCTGTTTAGTTCTTAAGTGTAGCTGTAGCATTTTTCTCCGTGGGTTCAGACATGAACAAAGACTGAAGACATGCCTGATTTCTAATGTTGCTTTAATGTGGTTTTCTTGTATGCCTGTTATATATAGACCTCGTCATGGGTTTGCTTGCAATGCAATTGCATTTTTTTCTTTTTTTAATTATTATTACTAACAGTACGGTATTTTTCTATGTCTGAGCAATGAACTTAAACATGCCACTGTCATTTTGTATATCTGCACCTCTACGCTCTTTAAACTTGTAGTGCCCTTATGCAAACACCCAGCCACTGCTACATCTGCTGTAGGTGACTGACTGATGACTTTTGCTACTTTTTGTTGCCCCGCAGCGATGGATTGATGACTGTGTTAATCCTCGTTAAGAGATAAATGTAGACACAAGATGGGACTTCTCGCTTTCATTGCTTTCCTTCCTTTTTTTCCTTCTTTTTGTAAAGGTTATATTGTATACAGACCTTGAAAGCACTGCTTGCTGCTAAAGAGGCTGTGCTGAATCTGCATTAAACACAGACACAAGAAAACAATGACCAATATGCAAGAGGAACGACAAAACACACTACTGCTGTACAGGGAGGTTTTCATACATGTAATCACTGAGATGACAAAACTACCATCATGGGGTTTGTATTTTTATTTCAAGCTTGATAGTATCCTAAATGTCACCCTGGTCAGTTTGTGTCTTTTTCTTTCTTTTTTTTTTCTTTCTTTCTCATTGGACAGTTGATATATTTGCAAGTTGTGGTCTGTGTAGTCAAAATAATTCTTAATGTAGTGCAGGAAAACACGTCTTAAAAGTCATTTGTAATTTATTGGATTACTTTCTATGAAGTTCTATAGAGGAAATTGAGGTTTAATTATTTTTATTAAACATATTCTTCTGACTATCAATTCAGTGTGCCTTTTACTTTGTCCCAGGGACTTTTTGAAGAATTCAGTTATATCAAGGAGTTGACCGCTTTGTCTTGAATCCTTTAAAAAATTGTACATGTATATATCAAATTTTTGTTCAGCATCACAACACATGCAAAAACACACACACATGTGTATGTATGTATATATATTGTTATAATACTAATAATAATGTAATTTAATATATTTGTGTTGCCTCAACATTAGTTTAGTTACACACATACTGCAGCAGGGCACTAGCTCACAGTAACACACAATGATGAAGCAGTGAGCACCCAAACTGTTAGGCCGTAGAGCGAAGACACAACAGGTAAGTATGTGTGACTGAAATAACGCAGTAGGAAAAACAGTTTTGTTGTTAATATTCTAGATGAGGCTTGATAATTTATTTCACTCTGAGTATTTACTTAAAAAAACAATTACATATTTGCTTGTGATTTTTTTTTTTTTTTTAAAACAACATTCAATTCACTGCTAATTTAATGGATCCATTTGCACATAAACACTGCATAAACGTTAGTAGATACAGAACTCTAGTGTCCATATTTTTCCAGCAATGTTGGAAATGAACAAGGCTACATACCAAACTCTTGCAGCAGAGGGCCTTTCTTCACTGCAAGTCCTTCTTTTCTCCTCAGGGTGGTGCTCAGTGACCTGTTTAACTGCTTCTACTGCTGTTTGGCACTTATCTTAGCAACCAGACCAGATGACAAGTTGAGGCTTGTCTATGGTGAGAGGCCAATGGGCTGAACTTCCTCACCCTGCAGAGCAGCAGGTTGGCTGCACTGAATCATGCTGCATTGCTCTGCTGCTACTAGACAAACACACAGGAGAGATTTTTAAGAGCAGAAGTCTGTCAGTTTGACCTAACATCATCCCAGAAGAGCCACTGACACTGGTGAGTGACTTTGATCCTGGTTTATGAGTTGTGTTTTCTTGAGCTATGTTGAAAGTTCCACAGAGATAATAAACTGCACTGGAAGTCAGCTGACTATCTGGAGTAAAATGCAACAGTTACGCGATCTGCTTCAGTGTTCCTAAAAGCTGCAGAATAAAAGAATCCTCTGCACACATTAACCATCTATATAGCTATTTTTCAGCAGGCTTTAATGCATTGAATAACAAAGTCTGATTATAAACCAAGATAAAGGCGATGTTTAGTTTAATTCTCTTTAAGGGACTAGCACATGTTAGAAAGTGAAAGTAGGCCTATTTTCACTTAGCATGAGTTGCATGTGAGTTGACTTGAGTGGAGTCCAGTCCAGAGGAAACAGGAAATGGGTGTGATTTAGATATTGTGCCAGCTTTTAGCAAAATTAAAACAGCAAACAAACATGCAGAAAACACATCTGTGGTGTTTTTAAATCGACACCGTGCTGCCAGGATCTTCCTGCTAAAGATAACAAGATGGGGTGTGATTCATATTTATGAGAAGCTGCATGCATATTGATGCTTCCAACTTCCTGTTTGTCTCTTCTGAGATGCAGCAGCTGGAAGTCAGTCAGAATGAGACACAACTTGATGTTTTAAGATGCCATTGGACTGATATCAGCATTTGGACTAAAATTTGGAGTGCACGATGAGAGTTTTTCTTGCCATTTTACCTCACCATCTTTGTGAAATCCGTTTCCTCCACATGGTAAACGCATCAGACAGCTGCTGCTTCAACCAACACGAACAGTAAGTTGTACGCAAACACAGAGAATCAAAAGGCATCCATTCAGCTGCAATGATCACATAAGTATATAGAAATGTCCTTATGTTGGAGATTAAGCAAAAGGTCAGAATTAAACTAATTCTGGTTCTGATTTTGTCTTGTTAGTGGGGGGGGGAAAGTATAGCTACATGAAAGGAAATATTAGGAAATCACAATAGTAATGTTGAGTGCTCTACTCTGAAAACCTTATGGCACATTTTTGAGCAAAACTGCTTCTTATCCACCTACAGTGTCATCCGCAGTCATTGTAGACTGACTCAGCACAGGCAGTAATAAACAGCACATGTGAGAATGGTTAGAGGAACAGAGTCTCGTTCAGGCTGGTGGTAGCACACAAAGAGACTGTAAAAAGAAGAGGGGACTTTACCGCCAGGGGACGGAGTATTCAATTCTTAGCAGATCTGCAGAATGATTGAACCATGCTTTGAAACATACCTTTTAGAGATTAACAGTCAATATTATCCACCATTATTATTCACGTGAGCCAAGGATGGTTCAGTATTTAACTTATTATTTCCTCATGAGTCTCTGGCATCTAAAATATTCCTGTTGTTACACAACTTGCCAAATTGACAGTTGCCCTGCACAGGGAAACTGAGTTTGAGATGTTTTTCTTAGGTTTTCAGTATGTGAGGTGCGCAGGAACAAAAGTGACTATTCACAGCTGCCTCAGAGCAGGAAGTACACATGAGTCACTAAAGGCAAATGAACAGAGTGGGAAAGTGGTGCTGTCAACAAGACCACCAGGCCATCTAATGCATCCATAACAAGAAAGGCAGCAGCAAATATAAAACTCCAGGTGTAAGACCATAGTTTGACGTTTCTGTAAATAAGCTGGCTTTTGGGCACCCTTCCCAGTAAAATCCATCACCAGTCAGTATTAACTATATATTCTCCATGCTTGACCACTTGTCCACTATACATTAACAGGCTTAAAAGTGTGGTTTTATTTTTTTGAGACACAATTGTTGCAGTCCATTAACAAACAGCTAGCTTTAAAGCAGTGTAGCTGTAAGTGGACTGGTACTTATTTAGTACCGTTTACTAATTTGAGCATTCAAAACACTTTCTACTAAAAGTCTAATTCATCCAGTCACACAAAATCATGCAGTGCTTGTATGTGTACCTACGTACTTTTATCTAACATTCTCACAAACTCACTCCAACAGATGAAAATTGGGATTCAGTATCTTTCTCAAGGATATTTCGACACATGACCAGGAGGAGCCGGTGTTCCGGGAATCCATCCTACCTGGCAAACCATCCTACCCGTTGTTTCTGCGCATGCGCACAACACCGGACAACCCATCCCTGGACCTTCCAATTATTAGCGGACCCACTCTACCACCTGAGCCACAGCCCCGTTCAGTTGCTTTTAGGTTAGTCGTTGTCAAAAGGTTGCGTGTATTTTTTCGAGTTATTTGCCTGCAGTGAGGGGGTTTTAACCTATGCAAACATTTTTTTAAACTTTATTTAACAAACAATGAGTATACAACATACGAACAGATGAAGTATACAAATCAACAGAACATGAACACACAAAACCACAGGAAAAAAGAAAAAAGTAACAATTATATGAATATACGCATAAATATACATATATTGTTTTGAGAGCCTTTTTGTTGGTGGAGTCTGATATTGATTGTATGTACATTTCCACATCCTTAAAAAAATGACAGAAATGTGGTGTTTTGTTAGCAAACTTACATTTATGGATAAAGAATTTAGCTAAAAGTATTAACAAATTTATCATAAAAAAACATTTATCATTCTTCTTTAACCTATGCAAACATGCTCCTCTAAAATAGTAAGTAGCTCAACTGGATGTAGGGTGATTGCTGATTGGTTGACAAGCCAACTGCAAAAGAATGGGGGTGAAAGTGGCACAGTAAAAGTGCCAAAATTCGTCAAAGCTCAAAAATACAGAATTAAAGCAGACAAGGGTCTGCAGAGGACGCTTTTGGATATTTCTAACACTTGGTTTTCCTACAGTACTTTGTATGTTATAACATCGTGACTAGCACAGACCAACAACAGCGCAAGCAAGAGTAGCACACAGACTGATTGTACCACAAATGTTGGATACTGCCTCCCTGTGGCAAAACACACTCACTGCCGCTCGCTATGGTCTGCCAGCACACCGTCCAATAGAGAACCACGTTGAGCCATTTAGAATGAAAATGATTAAATCAGTAGTTGACACTGATGATGATGCAGTTATCTGGGGTGTGATAAGCAGCTGCTTAGTCTGCCTATGCCTCAGGTCCTACTGACAGTGAATGCACCAAGTCCTCGTACAAGCTAATCTTTTCAATTATGAATCATGCAAAGTTGCCTCTAGTTTGTAAACAAAATGTGTATTTTTTCACTCCATGTTTAGGTGTCCATTTGATTCCTGCTCTGACTCTCATCCTGTGTGAGTGAGGAGGTCACCATGGCAACTGTGCCACAGGGGATTGTGGGAAAGCCAAGGTTTGGCCCTAGTGACTGTCTGATCGCAATGTTGAGGTTAGCCCTGCAGTTACAAAGCATTACTGACTCACACAGTGTTTATCTGTGTAGGCTGTGTGTACGTCAACCTGATACTGATACTCGCAGCACTAATAGCTGCAATAAAACGCAACACGCCTCAGATCTTTCATCAGCTTGCCTCACACGCTGTACAAATGTGGCTAGATCAATTTAACAGCTACATAGTGTAGTTAACATCTGGTGTTTTGCTAAAAGGCACCGAGGGTGTGGTCAAGATCAATAATGTGTAAACACACAGAGCTGATAAAGTTTCTGTACTGGGAATTCTTTAATATAGTTTCTACTGTTGTAAGCGAGAGCTTTAAAAAACACACGTGTGGCATTTCATTTACAGTTTAGAACTTACACCTCCACTTTATGCCAACGGCAGAATATTGTTGAATTACATTTTCCATTTCCTTTTGTGCTGCTCAAATTTCTGTGACGATGCCTTGGATTCAGGGCTTGCTCCAGAGATTCGACTGAGGCGATTCAAACAAGACTGAAATGCATGCTGCAAATGTTTCTACAGCATTACAGGGACGACGAGGGAAATGAGAAGACCAAAGGTACAGTGATGATTTTACAGTGGAATGTGGCCTTCAGCGTGTATCTGGTTGACAGAAATTCTTATGATTAGAGAGCAGGCTGTCTTTTGATAGCAGGTGTGAAATTCTGGAATAAAGCCCGTGTTGTTGATACATGCCAAAAATAATCTACCTAATATTGTTCCCAGAGTTGGCAGCAAAGTGCTGCTACGAGGCAGGGGTTTGGTATCACAGAATCTTGGAGAACCTGATCAGTCAAGAGAGGAAAAGGCTGGGCTTCAGTGACATCTCAGTAAGTGCACGCCATCTGGTGGCCAAAGATGGAACTGAGCTTTGACCATATTAACTGAGCAGTCACAGATAAATGTCTCACAGCACCTGTGATCTCATAACTTATGTATTTTATTTATTTTGAGTCATCTTTGAAGTAAAGCAGCTGGTGCTTGTAATGCATGTAAAACAGGTGTGTTTGATGCAGGGCATCTTGGAGCATGATCTTTTCCAGCGCTGTCTAGTGGCCTGTTGCTTGGAGATCGCTGTAACCTCAAACAGCTTACCATGTGACTTCCCGCTGCTCCTTCAGATCCTCAAACTGGCACCATACCACTTTTGGAAGGTATTTTTTTTTTGCCATATACTGTACACTTAGTGATACAGTAACATTTAGTCTGTGATTTGAATGCTCCCTCTTTTGTTTTTCTTTGTTCTCACAGGTGATTGAGCCTGTTTGGCGGGTTGGGTCAGGCTTGCCTCACTATGTGGTCACACACCTCATCCAAGTGGAAGAAAAGGTTTTGGAGAACTTGGCTTGGATCAGCGACTCACCACTGTGGGATGAAATCACACCCAACGAGGGCCATATGCCCACCTGCCAACAGGTTTGGAATAACACAAATACTCTTTGCCTGACATCATAAATTATCAATATTTGGAAATTGTATAACATATCCAAAGCAATTAAATTTTTCTTTGAACAGTTCGGGTTTTAATGAGAGTTTTGCCTCGTGTCAAATGTAGGTAATGCATCCAAATAGGCTCGAAGGTCCAATGCAAACGGATCCAGTTGTGCCGAGAGGTATTAACACAGTGCACTAAAGACTCATTTTAAATAAAAGCATTCCCTGCAAACTTTTTACACTATTACTATAGATTGAGTGGTAAACTATTTTTGCCAGTGGATGTCAGTTTGGGGATGAACCACTCAGCCAGGACAGAGCAGCAGTGTTCCCCATCAGCTATAAACAGACAAGAGAGAAGCAGCTCCCTCCATCTGTTTGCTCGGAAGGTCAGTTCTATATCATGGGTCCAGTTACCATTGTTGTTATATGGCTTGTTAAGTGTGGTCATGTCTGTCTTTATCTCAGGTTTACAGCTTGATGGCCAAGCGTCTGAGGGAGCTGTGTTCCACGCTGGAAATATCTGATGAGCTGCGATTAAAGATCTGGACCTGCTTTGAGTATTCCTTGGTCCACTGCTCTTGTCTAATGGTAGACCGTCACCTGGACCAACTGCTCATGTGTGCTATCTACATCATAGCTAAGGTGCGTTTTAATAGTATCTTTATAATATCTGAAGTGTCTCTGTTGTCTAGAGGCTATTATTAGTGAAAGAGATGGTTCAAAAAGACTGAGAAGTTTTCCAAAGACTAATCCAGTTGACCAGTTTCCACTTATTCTTACAACATGACATGTTGTCTTAGTCTCAGTAAGAGTTTCACACCTATTTTAAGCACCTTGAGGCAACTGCTGTTGGACTGTTGTGCTATTTAAATAAAATAAAATAAAGTTGAATTAACCTACATGAATATTTACAACACCCAAGTGAAATTTCAATCATCAAACAAGGAGGAATAGTATAGTAATGTCAGAGTGTGATGTGGTATGTGTTACAAATTACAGTTATTTGTGATT